TTCCTTCACTGTTCAGAACCGAGACTCAAAATTCCCTGCCGAGCTCCGCACCGTGGTACGGGTGGCAGGCGTGGGGCCCGGGCCATCTGAGGCTGCTGATGCCGTGGGGAACCGAGGCCCGGAGGGGCCGTAGCGGGTCAGCAGGTGCTACTCATCGTCCCGGGGCGTCTAAGTGGCCTGAGTCCTCCCGGGAGAGGACGGGAGCGCCCGGAGCAGCGGGCAGGCCAGCGGAGGGGACAGAACCCCGGTCTCCAGGAGCGGCGGCCTCTTCTGCGCACCCTCCCTCGGAGCCTCCTGTGGTTTTGTTTTGTTCAGTGTTTCGCGTGGCTTGCTTTGCCCTCTTCCTCTGCTTCCCCCAAGCAGAGTCCGGGCCTCTCTTCCTGCTGCTACACTTTTCACTCTCTTTGAGGGACACACCCACTGGCTGCTGCCTTCCCTTGGGGGGGGGGTGAGACCTTGTGCGCAGATGAGATTTTACCAAAACCTCAAACACAGAAGAGCAAGGCTTTCCGGGGCGGACGAAGCCTGGCCGCTTTCCTCCTCAGAGCGTTAAACCCACTGCTTGGGGCCTTCCCGTCATTTTCTAGAAGCCCACCCAAGTCTCCCTTCTCTTGCTCCACATGGGTGACGACCAGCTACTCTTTTTTTTTTTTAAGATATTTACTTATTCATGAGAGACACACAGAGATAGGCAGAGACCCAGGCCGAGGGAGAAGCAGGCTCCCTGCAGGGAGCCCGACTCAGGAGTCAATCCCAGGACCCCGGGGTCACGCCCTGGGCTGAAGGCGGCGCTAAACCACTGAGCCACCCAGGCTTCCTGCATATATATTTTTTTCATTGGAGTTCAATTCGCTAGCTTCTCTTATCAGATCACCATATTATCAATTTATTCAGAGCAGTGCAATGGTGGCCATGAAATATGAACGGGACCTTCCTCGATGACATCTGTATTTTAACTAGGACTTTCTGAAGGTGGCACCTCAACCTAAAGCAGTCATCTCATCTGTGCAAATATCTCACTAGAATATATTTCCAGAGCCTTTAAAGAACAGTCACCTCCCCTTGAGGGGAGGGCCCACACTAAAAGCCCAATCTCTTCGGTCACTTTTATAAAAGCCTTTCAAGTGGCACTTGAACGAAACATGACCTAGTCAAAGAGAGAAACTCCTTTAATTCTTGAAGAGAATCTTTCTGTCTCGGTAAGTGAAATAATGATGACGGTCACGGGGATGTCAGAGAGCAGCAGGCGATTTTATTTGCTTTTGCTCCAGTCTTCTGGGCGGGCACCCTCCCGCCTCTGGGTGCCCCCTTGTCGAATGCTCCGCACCTCTCACGTGTGACTCTAGTCCCTTGAAATCGTGCTGGTGGACGTCACCCCCTGGCTCATGGGGCAAGCTCCCCTCAGCCTTCCGGCCCTGCGCCTTCGGGTTCTCCGTCCCAGATAACTCCCCGGTTGTCCACAGGGGGGCAGGCCCCACCGCCGCGCGGTCCTTCCTCCTGCTTTCTGCGCAGCCAGCCGAGAGCCACCCCAGGACAGAAGGCCCCAGGAAGCTGCCGGGGCCTGGGCCTCGGGGGGCGGAGCTGCGTCAGCCCAGGAACCCCTTAGCCCTTTGGTAAGGTTCTTCAGAGACGAAACTATCAGAGCAATTTAGGAGAGCACCAAAGACAGGATTGGAAACTTACACCCCATATACTATTCTCAAATTCTCAAAATGTTGTAAGAAGATCTGAAGGCATGTGTTCACTTGTAGTTTTTTCCTATATCTTTGTTTGTAACGCACGTGCGTGCGCACACACACACACACACACACAGGCGAATTCCCGCTGGACGCGCATCCACGAGGGAGGAAGACATAAGGCTTTATACGTTACTGTGGATCATTGTGAGGATATTTGAAAGATTGAAGTCAGAAGGACTTGCTTCCCCGTCATGACCCGGCCTCCTGACTGGCTCTGGGCCTGGGGCCCAGCCACCGACTGTTTGCTCACCTGTCAAGTGAGCGCCCCAGCCCGGAGCCGAGCCGAGGGCAGCCCGCACTTTCCTCGCACAGAGCAGAGGCTGGTAGCGAGGCACGGAGAAATATCTGCCCCCGGGGATCCTGGAGCCGGGAAGACAGACCACATCCTTTGTGGTCCCCGTACCAGTGTCATTTACGCTAACACATAACTCCATCTAGTGTGCCGAGGGATCCCAAGCCACAGCAAATAGGCTCATTACTCTGTTTCCTGTTTACCGATAACTTGTAGCTGATAATGATTGCTGTGAGCTAAAGGAAGAGAGGCCATGCTGGGCTGCCGTCGGGGGCAGGAAGCATTCTTACTGGATGGAGGGTCTGAAACCATGAATCATCATTAACCAGACTCCATACTGATAGAAATTAAAACACTGATAACACAAACCACAAGTGTTCATTGCCCCGAGGGAAGGGATGGAGAGAGACCGCAAGGAGGAAGCCTCTCCTGGATGACACCGGAGAGGCGGATGTGCGGGGCCACAAGGCAGGCAGGCCCCACGTGTGCATCCCAGGGGTGACAGGTAGGCAGGAGGGGCTGCTGCTGCGGAGAAATCAGTCCCAAGGTGTGCTTTTGCAGAGGTGATGTGTGCAGGCCAGGAGCGAGGTGGTGAAGACCAGCAGAGGGGGGCAGAAGGGCACGGAGGAGAGAGGTTGAGGACAATGGGCTTGGCGGTGATAGCAAACTGAAAGAGAGAAAGAGAAGAAGACAGAAAAGAAAAGAAAAGAAAAGAAAAGAAAAGAAAAGAAAGAAAAGAAAAGAAAAGAAAAGAAAAGAAAAGAAAAGAAAAGAAAAGAAAAGAAAAGGAAAAGAAAAGAAAAGAAAGAAAAGAAGGACCAGCAGACATGCTTCGGGCATCATGTTAAGTGACAAGGATGTAGCATGGTCTGTCTCTCCCGGGGGTTGCAGTGGTAGGAAAATGACGTGCACAACCAATAAAGAAGGAATGAGAGGGAACCCGTGAGGGTAAAAACATTCTGATTTGGTGATTTGCTGGAGTGGCAAAAATCTGAGAAACCATTTTTCCCCTTTCAGTTCCACTTCTTTTGATGTTGTTAATTTAGTAATAATAATAAATAAATGTTAATAAATAGATAGATAAATAAATGTAATAATAAACAATTCTACAGCACTGGGAGAGGAAAGAAGATGAGGTTATGGTACAGCGCCTCTGAGTCTAGAGGTCTTGGACTCTGACAATCACAAAGTCAGAACTAGGGGATGCATGTGGGATGGGGATGGGGCCACAGGGGCGTCGGAGGAGGAGAGGAGGAAGGGAGCCTCTGGGGCAGACTCTTGAGCGTTGTGACCTGGGGCCTGTTGCCCTACCTGTAAAATAGGGAGAGTGCAGCACTTAGAAAACTGTTTTGAAGATGAAATGAAATAATATATGTAAAGGGCTTACAACCCTGCCAGGGCACAGGTTCTCTTAGGTGCTTGTCCCAACCTGGGAGAGGCCTGGTGGCCAGGACAGGTGGGAGGGAGGCGTAGCCCGGACTCCGGGGAAGTAAAGACGTGCAGGCCGGAGTGGGGGGTGTTGGGGGGTTGGGGGGGGAGTGCAACTTCCTCCCCATGCAGTCAGGTGAGTGGCCCCTGCTGGGATGGAAAAGGGCCGGGAAGGGAAGGGACACCTGAACTGCAGTGTGGTAGGAAATCCTCTGAGATCAAATGAAACCATAAAGAAAAGAAAAAGGTGAGGATGAGGCAGAGACGTGGGGTCAGCGGTGGACGGTTCTTCTAGCTGGGCGGGGAGGGAACACTGGACTTGGGGGGGGCCTGGGTTCCGCCCAGGGCTGCGCGGCCAAGAGCCCGAGTGTCCTTGGACAAGTCCTGGATCCCGGGTCTGTCTCCTTTCTGAAACCTGTGGGCGCGACCGGCCCAGCACCCCGCAAGGCAGCAGGACAGAGCCCCGCGCCCCCCGCCGCCCTCCGACCCCCCGCCCCCCGGCTGCGCGCTCGGGCCCAGGACCCCGCGGGGGGGGGGCGCCCCGGGAACTCGCGATGGGCCGAGGCCGGGCTGAAGGGAGGCAGATTGGGGAAGAGCTGCGGGGGGGGGAAGAGGAGGGGGAGGCCGCGGGGGGCGGCGGAGGAGCCGGGGCTGGGGACGCGGCGTTGGAATGCGGAGGGAGAGGGAGGCGAGGGGCGGGGAGGGGGGGAGCGGGGCTGGGCCTGCGTGCCCGTGACCCGGGGTCGGGGGCGCGCCCGGGGCTGCGGAGAGCGGTCCCCGCGGGACAGCCGGCGGGGGGGGGGCGAGCCCCGGGGTCCCACCAACACCATTGGGACGCCGCCTCCGGGGCGCCCTCCGGGAGCTCCTCCGGGACCGCGAGGGGGCCGGCGAGGCTCTGGGGCCCTGGTGGGGGCGGGGGCGGGGGGCGGGGCGGGGGCCCGAGCCCGGGGGTACCACCGCCATAGTGGGCCGCCGCCTCCGGGGCTCCCTCCGAGACCTCGAGGAGGCCGGCGAGGCCCTGGGGCCCGCGGGGCGCCCCGGGTGAGAGTGGGGGGGTGCTGAGCCCCGAGGTCCCACCGCCATCAGTGGGCCGCCGCCTCCAGGGCGCCCTCCGGGAGCTCCTCCGGGACCTCGCGGGGGCCGGCGACGCTCTGGGGCCCTGGGGCGCCCCGGGCCGGGGGATCCGGGCTTCGGACAGGGCCGGGGGCTCCGGCGCCGCAGATGCCCCCCCCACGCGCTCCGGGCCCGCCGAGCGCGCGCCCTCCCGCAGCCCCAAGCGCGTCCCCACCGCACCCGCGCGCCGCGGCCCCGTCCCCGACACCTCCCGGCCGCCCCGCGGGCCTCTCCTCCCGCCCTCCGCTCCCTCCCCTCCCCTCCCCTCCCGGCGAGGGGCGGGAGGGGGCGTGGCGGGGCCGCAGTTGGTGTGGCTGGGACCCGGCTCCCTGCACTCGGAGTCCGCGCGGGGAGCCGGGCCCGGCCGCTGTCCAGCCGCCCCGCGCCCCCCGCGCCCCGCGCCCGCGCCCGCGCCGCCGCCTCTCGCCATGGATGCGCCCCGGGTGCTGCTGTCGGCCGTGTTCCTCGTCGGCTTCCTGTGGGATCTGCCCGGCTCCCAGCAGGCTTCCATCCCCTCGTCCTCGCCGTCCGCGCAGCCGGCCGCCGCCAAGGGGACGCGGAGCCGCAGGGACGGGAGGGCGCCGCGGGACCGGGCGCCGCGGGAGCCCCTGGAGCGGGAGCCCCTGGAGCGGGAGCCCCTGGAGCCGGAGCCCCCGGAGCCGGAGCCCCTGGAGCCGGAGCCCCCGGAGCCCCAGCCCGCCGGCGGGGCCGCGCGCGCGGTGCCGCACGACTACATGCTGTCGGTCTACAGGACCTACTCCGTCGCCGAGAAGCTGGGCATCAACGCCAGCCTCTTCCAGTCCTCCGGGGCGGCCAACACCATCACCAGCTTCGTGGACAGGGGCCGAGGTAAGTGGCGAGGGAGGCGCCCCACGCCCGGCCCGAGCTCCGCGGCCCCCGGCGGGAGGCTGCCCCGGCGGACCCCTTCCCCCCGACACCTCCCCTTCCTTTCCTTAAATTGTTTTTCTCAAGCCCAGTACGTTTCTGAATGTGGCTGCAGAGTTGTTTCCAGTTTGCAAACCTCCCTTCCTCGCGTCCTTCCTTCCCTCCTTCCCTCCTCCTTCCTTCCCTCCTTCCCTCCTCCTTCCTTCCCTTCCTTCCTTCCCTCCTTCCCTCCTCCTTCCCTCCTTCCTTCTTTCCCTCCTTCCCTCCTCCTTCGTTCCTTCCCCCTTCCTTCCTTCCTTCCTTCCTTCCTTCCTTCCTTCCTTCCTTCCTTCCTTCCTTCCTTCCTTCTCTTGTCTTTTGCAGAAAGCAGCGTGGTGGCCTCTGGTCCGGTGGCCAGTGGAGGAAGCGTGGAGGGGGTGGGGGGTGGCAGGCAAATGACTGGGTCTGCAGCGGGGCCGCGGGGGGACTGACGGCACCCGGCCGGGGTCTCGGGTCGTGCCTCGGTCCGAGGCCTGAGCTTCGGAGGCGGGGCGAGGGCGCGGGGGGCACGGGTGAGCCCGGAAAGCCGCGAGCCCCCATCGGCCCGGGGAAAGCGGCGGATGCAGGTCCCGCGGGGGGAGGAACGAGTCCTCGAAGGGCGCGTGGCGGCGCCCGGCCCAGCCGGCTGCACGGGCGCTGAGCCCGGGGCTGCGCTGATGTGGGGATCGGCAGCCGGCAGGAGCCCCGCGCGCTCGGCGGTCCTTGCCGGAGGCGGCGGCCCGGTAGTTTAAGCTCTGCTAAGGCACCGGCAGCAAGGGCACAGGGGCAGGGGCAGGGGCAGGAGCAGAGGCAGGGGCAGGGGCATGGGCAGGAGCAGGGTAGGAGCAGGGGCAGGGCAGGAGCAGGGCAGGGGCAGGAGCAGAGCCAGGGGCATGGGCAGGAGCAGGGGCAGGAGCAGGAACAGGGCAGGAGCAGGGGCAGGAGTAGGGGCAGGGGCAGGGGCAGGGCAGGGGCAGGAGCAGGGGCAGGGGCAGAAGTAGGGGCAGGGCAGGGGCAGGAGCAGGAGCAGGGGCAGGAGCAGGGGCAGGGGCAGGGCAACTACAGGTAGCAGCTTGTCGGTACTTAGCCCATGCGGGTGCAGGGATATGCTCCTCCACCTTTCCCTGCCGGGCATCGCCCGTCTTTCCTCTCCGGCTTCTCCCGGGGCCCTGTCCCTGGTCCCCTCCCAGGGCGTGGGGTGCGTGAGTGGGTGCCCGCGGAAACGCCCCGCGCCCACTCCTGCCACCCGCGTTGGGCCGCCTGCTGAGCGCCTTGGGCAGGACCTCGGGCCCCCTGGTTCCCAGAAACCGAGGAGGGATCCACAGGCACCAGGAGCTCGGCCCCTCAAGGGGGGAGACAATGCGGAGGAAGGAGACCGAGAGGGGAGGGAGGAAGGGGAAGGACAGAAGGACAGGGAAAGAGGAGGAAGGGGACGCGAAGGAAGCAAGGAGGAGGTGAAGCGCTGGAGGCAGCTGCGCAGCATCCCGGGCGGGCTGAGCGGGGCGGCTGCGACCCTCCGCGCCCTGACTTCCAGGTCCGGGAAAGCGGGGTCGCAGGGGGGCGGCTGCCCGGGCTGCTCCTGCCCACGCGGGGGTCAGCGGGGTTCACGAGCTGCTGAAAGCTGCGGGCGGCAAATTAACGCCTGCTATTTTACGGCGGGTTTAGGGCTACGCAAGTCACCTTGGCAGGTAGCGCGGCGGTGCGGGCCCGGCCCCCGCGCATCCCGCCCGCGCTCTCGCCCTCGGTGCCGGCCTCGCGCGTCTCCGTCCGCCCCAGTCGCGCCCCCCAGTTAGGGACGGCCCTTCGCGCCCCTGGTGGGGACCCGGGAGGCTCAAGGAGGGTCGCCGCCGGGCCTCTCCCGGGGGAGGCGGCCGCAGGTGCCCCCTCCCCACCCGCGGGCTTGGCTCGGGACCTGGGGAGCCTGCGGGCCGCTCCCGGGTGTCTGCGGAGGCCCGGGGCTCGCAGGCCGGACTGGGGGGCTCGGGGCGCCGCAGGGAGGACGGGCCGAGGTCTGCAGGCTGCCGCGCCGGGGGTCCACCGGGCCCGCAGCTGGGAGGCGCCTGGGCGCTGCCGGGTTCCCAAGGCTGTTGGTGGACGGGGAGGCCGCGCGGCTCGGGGTGAAGGAGCGCAGCCCAGGGCGGGAGGGGGCGCGGGGGGGGGGCTGTTGCGGGCCGCAGCGCCAGCCTGATGAAGGGAAAGCCTCACTTTCCCTCTCACTGATTTTGATTTGATGTGTCACCGGCGGTGACCTCGGGCTGGACCTTCCGGGGCTTGCTTAGCATCGGGCCCCTGATTGGAGTGTTTCAACTCAGCGATCTAATTGAGGGTTCATGTCATAACACATCAAACGGTGTCTAGTCTCCCGTGATGGAGGGGACCCGCCAGCCGCATCCCCGGCTCCCGGAGAGGACTTCCGCGCCTTTCACGTGGGGACTCTGGGCCGCTGAGCCCTCCTCTCCTCCTCCCCTCCTCATCCCTCCCCTCCCCCTCTCCATCCCTTCCTCCTCTCCATCCTCCCCTCCCCCTCTCCATCCCTCCCCTTCCCTCTCCATCCCGCGCCCTCCATCCCTCCCCCTGTCCATCCCTCCTCCACCCCTCCCCTCCCCCTCCCCACCCCTTGGATGGCGGGGGAGGCGGGCGCTGGGGCCTGCCCACAGCTGGGCCTGGCCCAGGGACTTGGCGCCTCGCCTCGGGATGTTTAAATCGCCGTCGAGGGCGGCGGGCTGGGCCTGGTGGAGCAGGGGACCCTCAGGGGGAGGAGTCCCGAAGTCCTGGAGCTCCTGACTCACGCACAGTATTTGTAAATAGCCTTCCTCACCCGGGAGCCCCGGAACCTCAAAAGTTAGCCCTCAGGCTGGCGATTAAGAGTGGGTGAGCTGGGATAAAAATCCATCCGAAATGAACCAGGGGAGCGCTTTGGGTCTTTAAAGAAAGCCCGGTCCACCCTTGCCACCTTCTCCCCCAACACACACCCAATAAGGAGACCTTATTGCTAGGTTTCTTTTTTTTTCTCTTTTTTTAATGTTCCTCCTTTCAATTTGCTCCCCAAACATCTAGAGGTGATAATCAACAAATACTGAGCACTTACCGCGTACCAAGTACTGTGCTAAAATCTGTTACCTGAATTATTTCATTTAATTCTGACAACAACTGGTCGGGAAAGTGCTTATAATCACTGTTTTTACAGGTGAATTAAGGAAGACAAAGAGGTTAAGTGAGTGGCCTAAGGTCACCCAGAGGAATGAAGCAGGTAGCCAATTCTAGATCCCCCATGCTTAACTGTGGCACTATGTGGATAGGGTAAGGGGTGAGGAGGTTTCTAAAGGATCATGGCAGGAAGCCAGAGTCAAAAAAAAAATGGGCAAAGTTACCACTCAGTCTAATATTCTTCTGTGATTTCTTAAGCCCGAGCTTGGAGTTGGAGCGGAACTTGGGATGTGAGAGTGTGAATCAGTGCTGGGTTTTGCTTCCTCTTTGTACTCTCTGTCAAGGCACAAGCCATGCTACCCCTCATCTTCAAAAAGTCCTCCTTATCGGGTTTTCAGCACGACTTTGGATCCACAAAGATGGAAAGTGTGTGAGTGTGTGTGTGTGTTGGTGCTGTTATAAGATCAGAGTGGATCAGGTTGGCTATAAAGAAATTACAGTTAGCACATGATAGAATCATTAAAAGCCACTAGTACTGGAGCCCTAGGGCCCCCACTTCGGGGCCTGGGAAAGGCAGATAATTGGAACTTCTCTGAACTGAACAAGGCTGAGAGAGAGGGGGGAAGAGAAGAGAGAGACAAACCTCGGATTTTCCATTTATGTACTGAGAAGTGGCACTTAATTCCAGCAAGAGGGAAAAAACCCTCCCCCTTGGTTTTGGAGGAAACCAAGATGAGTCCAGCAATACTGTGGTGAGTTCGGTATCCAGATGATTTGGAAATAACAAGATTCCTACAAAAATTCTTTTTTTCTTCTGGTTATTGATGTTGTTACAATAGCCTTCTCAGAAAGGAGGCAGTCAGGAACAGATAAAAACCAAGAAAACGAGATCGGGACATCCTTGAGGAACTCGACACCCTAGAAATGAATCGCTGGAAAGTTTTGCCGCTGATTGTCGGCTTCTTGGTTTACCTTCTGGGCCGTGATTATCCAGGGGCCGGGCAGGACCTTGTGGGGATAGCCGGGCTGCAGGGAGGGCATTCGAAGGGCTGCAGTTTCCTCGCCATCGAAGGTCGGCTGGTACAGCACATTTGTGCAAAACAGCGAGTTTCTGGGTGGACCTGGGCCGCAGAGTGGCATAATCGGCGCAGCAGCGCTTTTGCCCCGACCCTGTTGTCGTTGGCAAACGGAAAATGAAATATAAGCAGGGAAGTATTTTAATGGGGACGGAGGGAATTCACAACTGTTAATTATTTGGTGACCTTGTATTCGATTTGTTTGAGTCCCTTATAAAAACACTAATGCAGACCAGACGGCCAAGTGAGGAAGCCGGCAGAAGGTTCCAATCTAGGCTTTATTTCCCCGGAAAGAGGGAGCAGCCTTGGAAGAGGATTGCGTGTTGAGGGCGCGCCCGCGTGAGCGCCGGCGTGGGGTCTGCAGCGCTGTCCGGGTTCAGGATCTTCCGCAGGGCGGACTGGAAGGGCCTGGAAAAAGGCCTGGGGTGAGGGAAGGAAGCCTGAAAGCTTGTTATTCTCTGCTGGTTGGAATGATTAAAACATTCTAGAGGCCACAAACCACAGAGGCCTTGGCCCTTGGCTTGCTGTGAAGTATCAGTCGCTGTCACCGCGTCCCCAAGGCCCAGGGGCTGCCCTTCGAGACCCTTCCCAGGGCCGCCTGAGCAAGCAGGCTGAGCACCTAGTGCCTCGTGCAGCCAGAGTGCAGGGGGCCACAGTCAGGGCGAGCTTCCTCTGCAGCGGCGGCTGCTCGCAGGACGACTCCGAAGGCTTCCCGGCGCGGGG